TGTTTGAGATTATGAAACCATACTTCTATAATTCTATGCTCTATAATTTAGTGACATGGGGAAGGGTCCATAGGGTAGGCAAATACCATGCAACATGATACAGGTAAATGTACATATCTTCATTTCACAGCCTCATTGTTTCCTGCAGAAAAGAACATTTGGTCTAATTACAAAATTTGAGCAAGAGAAGGAGTCCATGAGATATATGGATATATAACTGACAGCACCATCAACTCAGTTGGATTGTCTGGTTAGTAACAATGCTAAATCTTATTATTAAGGAGCAGATGAGAAGGTGATTTGGAAGAGAGAGAGGGGAAGAAAAAGATGTAAAGGAATTTCATTTTTACTTATTTATTTTGCATATGTTCCGTTGGTATGTAAAAACAGATGCGAACCACAAAGCCTCCCCACAGACTCCTTGAGGAGGAAGACACACATAAAGAGCAGTCTGTGTGGCCATTAAAGTACAAACTGATTCAGAAAGAGGACTTAAAAAAATGTTTCAGTAAGCACATAATTCATCTCAAAAGTTGAGATGCATAAAACTGTCCTAGAGTAGTAGGGAATTAGTCTTTCTTGTATGATTAAATACAGCCAGTGTTTGCAAATATAAGGAAATCACTGTATGACTGATCTAGAGCATGCAAAATTTGTCAGGAAAAGTAGTACATTTCTTAGACAAAACTGATAAATTGGAGCATGGGGAGACAAGCTGGTAGGCTAAATTATAGTCTCAGACCATTGCGGACTACTGCACTATCACAATATTGTTGACATAAATAAGACTTTCCTTTTCATCCAAGAATCTCATTCACTTCTTTAGCACAAAATGATGTACGGTGCTCAACATAAGTCCATGTAAACTCCAACTGCAGCTTGTCCTTCTCTGCAGCAGTGACTGTAGCCTAAGTGACAAGGTGACCTTCCTGTCATACTTCTGAGTCACTTAAGTAAACTGTCTCACCTTCCTTGCAGTAATATTTGCAAGGATCTTTTCTAATTATCTTACAGTCTGAATGGTAATTATTTTTTTTTTCAGTTCTGTTATTGCTTTTGTACTTGCCTAAAATCCATAAAATACCTAATGTTTTTTGCCACATTTGAATGTCCAGTTGTACTTATTTTAGTTAGTTTCTCATACAAATTTTCATCTACATCTTCATATCATGTTGTTTTTTTAATTCTTCTTTCTGTTCCTAACACTGAAGGATATTGGCTTTTAATATCGAGACAATTAGAATACGTGCATGTAAAATTATGATGAGAGGAAAAGCTGGTTTATGTTTATGTATTTACTATTCACTTACTACCCATGCAATATTTATCACTGTATTTAATCAAGTGAAATTTATGTGGTTTTGTTTTTTTGTTTTTGCTTGTTTGGTTTATAAAGTGCTTGTGCTTTTTATTTCACGTTTTTCTGTTGTGATCTCCTCAGTCCCTATCATATTCCTCAGCTTCTATTCACTTCAGCCTGTCTCACTGTATGCTCCCTAAACATTTTTGTTATTTTCTGGATTTGATAGGCCAACATTTAAAACTCATCTCTTCTTAATAAAGTGTATTGTTGAGAGCAGCTTCCCGCTCAGTCATACTATCTACTACTCATCCTATTACATAATTTCCAAGAGTCATTATAATGAAAGCATATGTTCTGAACTGAATTTCATGTTAAATTGTTTCATGACTTCTTTCAAAGATTCATGAAAAGCTGAGTTGGGTGGTCCTTACTGCTTTGTGGTAGAGGAAAGAGTAAAACATCGTGTGTGATTTCAACACCATTAAGTTATTTATTGATAATCCAGAAGTGATGTGGCTGAATAAGCATTATATTCACTGTAAGAGGTCTTTGGAATTAACTCTTTTGTTGCCTCTCAGCATGAAGTTCCCCATCCTATCATTCCTTTACAATGGAGATGCCTACAGAAGTCTATAGAGGTGTTGTTTGAAGAGTGGAAGCAGGATTGGTCCTTTAGGCAATACTTTTATTTGTTTGTGATATATATTAAAAATACAACAGAAATCATTGAGCATTATAGTATCTTTGACTTAGACTGTCTTTATTTTCCAGCCTAATTATATAATTTCACTCTCCTACTCAGATTGCTTCAAATCTTCTCCAGCTGGGCATATTCTTCATGCCTAGCATCATGCAATATTGTCTCCAAATCAGTTGGTACTATCACTGAAATAGGAGCTTCTAGACTCACATTTAAAACTATAGCAGTCTTCTCATTAATTATAATACAAATTTGGATGAGATAGCGGTTGCCCATTACCACCAGTGTATTTGAAGCAGAACGCAGAATCACAGAATTATAGGGGTTGGAAGGGACCTCCAGAGATCATCGAGTCCAACCCCCCTGCCAAAGCAGGTTCCCTACAGCAGGTCGCACAAGTAGGCGTCCAGGCAGGTCTTGAACATCTCCAGAGAAGGAGACTCCGCCACCTCCCTGGGCAACCTGTTCCAGTGCTCCGTCACCTCACTGTAAAGAAGTTCTTGCGCACATTGGTGCAGAACTTCCTATGCTGCAGTTTCCGGCCGTTTCCCCTTGTCCTGTCTCCACTCACCACTGAAAAGAGTCCGGCCTCGCCATTCTGCCCCCCACACCGTAGATATTTATAGACCTGGATCAGGTCCCCTCTCAGTCTTCTTTTCTCAAGGCTGAACAGACCCAATTCACTCAGCCTTTCTTCATGGGAGAGATGCTCCAGGCCCTTCACCATCTTTGTGGCCCTCTGCTGGACTCTTTCCAAGAGATCCCTGTTTTTTTTGTACTGGGGAGCCCAGAACTGCACGCAGTACTCCAGGTGAGGCCTCACCAGGGCAGAGTAGAGGGGGAGGATCACCTCCCTCGACCTGCTGGCCACTCTCTTTTTAATGCATTCCAGAATGCCATTGGCCCTCTTGGCCACAAGGGCACACTGCTGGCTCATGGCCAACCTGTTGTCCACCAGGACATCCAGGTCCCTCTCCGCAGAACTCCTCTCCTGCAGGTCATCTCCCAACCATGCACCTGTGGTGCATGGAATTATTCCTCCCCAGATGCAAGATTCTACACTTGCTTTTGTTAAACCTCATCCGTTTTTTTTCTGCCCAGCTCTCCAGCCTGTCCAGGTCTTGCTGAATGGCAGCACAGCCTTCAGGCGTGTCAGTCAATCCTCCCAACTTCGTATCATCAGCAAACTTGCTGAGGGTGGCTGCTATCCCCTCATCAAGGTCATTGATGAAGATGATGAACAAGACCAGACCCAGCACCGACCCCTGAGGAACACCACTAGTTACAGGCCTCCAACCGGACTCTGCACCACCTTCGACCACCCTCTGCGCTCTGCCAGTCAGCCAGTTTTCAACCCACCTCACTCTCCACTCATCTGTCCCACACTTTCTCAGCTTTGTTATAAGGAGGTCGTGGGGGACAGTATCAAATGCCTTGCTGAAATCAAGGTAGACTGTATCCACTGCTCTCCCCCCATCCACCCAGCCAGAGACAACATCATGGAAGGCTACCAGATTGGTCAAGCACAACCTCCCCCTGGTGAACCCATGCTGACTACTCCTGATAACCTCCTTTTCTTCCAGTTGTCTGGAGATGACATCCAGCACAAGCTGTTCCATCATCTTTCCAGGGACAGAGGTGAGGCTGACTGGCCTATAATTGCCTGGATCTTCCTTCTTGCCCTTTTTGAAGACCGGAGTGACCTTGGCTATCCTCCAGTCTTCAGGCACCTCCCCCATCCTTCAAGACCTCTCAAAGATGACAGAAAGTGGTTCAGCAATCACCTCTGCCAGCTCCCTCAGCTCCCATGGATGCATCCCATCGAGTCCCATGGATTTGTGAACATTGGTGTTGCCTAGATGCTCTCAGAGCACCTCTTCCCTGACAGAAGGGAGGTCTTCCATTCCCCAGCTCCTCTCACTAACCTCCAGGGACTCAGATTCCCGAGGGGGAGCTTTTTCACTGAAGACAGTAGAAAAGAAGGCATTCAGTATCTCCGCCTTCTCAGCATCCCCCGTTACCAGAACACCTCCATCACTTAGCAGGGGAGCCACATTCTCCCTAGTCTTCCTTTTACTGTTAACGTACTTTAAAAAGCCTTTTTTATTATCCTTTATCTCCTTTGCCAGATTTAATTCCACGTGGGCTTTAGCCTTCCTCGCATCCCTGCAGGCCCTGACAACATTCCTATATTCTTCCCAAGTAGTCACACCCTTTTTCCACACTTCATGGGCCTTCTTCTTTCCTTTGAGTTTGTGCACAAGCTCCTTGCTCATCCAACACCAGTAGGACACAGTTGTGTTTAAAGCTCAGTCATAAAGACTGATGTTCAGTGATTCAGTAGTAGGCTGGTGTTCATGCACAGCATTTTTCCTATAAATGGCTAAATTCTTTTCCACCTTGCACAGAGGAATGATATACAATTTAAGTGAGAGCTAAACTTAACTGAAATTCTGCTCAAGTGTCTGAACTGTTTGCACCAAAGAGACACGAAGATAATTTTCACTGACTCATTCTCAAGTAACTGCTGAAGTTAATATTGTTGCATAGGTCTGACCAGTATCTAGCTTCTGTTCTCTATTCACTTCATGACTGTCATTCCTTTGGGGATTATGTTAGTTAAATGGAGTCAGATGCTGATGCCTTGCTCTAAGGAACATAATATTTGAGTGATCCAACTGACAAAAGCACCTTGTTTTCACCGAACAACCACCAGCCTACCCACAAGAGTGATAGGAATAAGATCTATTACATTGTCTTAATCTGTTCTTTCCCCTCAGGAATCAAACACCTTGTTAGATATAAACAGTGCCCATTGGCATCATCCAAATGCTACTTAATCCTGAGGGAATATAAAGCAGTTTATTTCTGTGGTAGAACAAATACTGTATATGTTACTTGATGCTCTTAAGCAATGCTTGTTTGGCCTCTTGGCTAGCCTGTGCCACACTGAGTGAAGAGGAATTGTCTTGGGCCACCTATAAAATATAGTTACAGTATGTATGCAACAAAGCTTCTTCTTTTATACTTTTTATTAAAGCATAAAGAGAGCAACAAAACCATAAAACCAGTGGAATGATTGACATTGTTTTCATGAAACCAATGTATCAATATCTGGTTTGTTTGAAGTGATTGTAATTCCTAGTGAGTTCTCAAGGTGTTTGTCAGATATTTTTGGTGAAATTCTACTCTTCCTGTGCTTCATCCTTGAAAACAGTTGTTCACAAATTTACATACTGCCCAAAAGCAATGACATGACTGTGAGATGAGGAATATCTTTTTCTGGTAAGAGAGAGCTTATAGAATAGTAGTAGAGAGACACGATAAGATTTTTTCTTTGAGGTGTGTGTCTGATTGCAACTCCATACATTCTCTTTGAAAATTTGCAGGTTATCTATTTATGTCAACAGAAAATAGACTCACAGATATACCAAAAAAATTAATGATTTTTGAAACCTATTATCAAATTCTTTTATCAAAACAGAAAGCACAGCTGCATATTTTTCAGTGTTCACAGGACTGTCTTTAGCCAGTGTATAAAAATGCATACAATTATTTGCCATAACTTGAGTTAGCACTGCAACACACCCACCCCACACCCTGGTTTCAGTCCAGTCAGCATTAATAGCGCACAGATGTTTGATTGTTGCTGAGCAATGGGTGTGCACCCAGGGACAGGCCAGGTCATTCAGTGGGAAAAGCCACTGTCATGATGGCACAGGGCAGGGGGTGGCCCATGGACAGGCCACATGCTGCCTGCAGACTAGCTGTGACTGTCCTAAGCTTTACACTGGCAAGGAAAACTTCACCATCTGTCAGAGGCTGACAGCAGCTTTAGCAGCAGCAAACAGATAAAGAGAATGTATTCTTTAAAAGTACATCCTTTAATTCTCTCTGTCAGTCCAGAGATCCATAGCTACTGATCCAGCACTGCCCACCTTCAGGTCCTCTAGCTCAGGAGGGGACACAGATGCCTTGAAACACTATGCAAATATCCCTCATATATGTTATTTTTATATACTGAGGGCTCCATGCTTATGCAATTGGCTTCGGCTGCCACATTTTCATTTAGCTGTTGATCAGTTTGAATCCAGATGAGAAAATAACTCATTTGAATTCTCCACAGCTTGTTTGCTTCTGCATCTAATTCATTACCTGATCACTTCTAATTAGAACTGCTGCATTGGAAGAGTTGTTTTGTTCTGTGCAGTTAACAATTATTTCCTTCCAGTCAGGAAACAAGACTATTCCTAGAACAGCAATAGGCAAAAGAACGTTGAAAAAAATAGCTTCATTCAGAGAGCAGAGAGGAAAGTTTAACATAAATAAAGACAACATTCAGGTTTTCTGCCACAGGAAGTTTCATAATTGTCGAAAGATTTTACTTTTTGATTTTCTGGTATTTTATCATTTTCCCTTCCCAGAATTTCTAAAATACATAGTTTTCTGTAGTAATAGTAATATGTTTCTTTCTTCTTTTTATAATGACCATTTCTGTAATAACAAACAAATTTGCCTACAGATTCATGGGCTTTGAAACACCAAATTTTCTCAGTGAGAAACTGTTGTATTTTGTTATAGTTAAATTACAAGGAAAAAAAAAGGTTAAAAAAAACAAAACAACAACAACATAGTATTATTGTACTTAAGAAAAGGGGTATATGTCAAAAGAGTGCATAGTGTTTAGGGGCTTTACCTTAATTTCCTCAAATCTATATTTTGCAGAAACTGTTGCTGTTGTCATGGGTGGAGACAAATTGTACAGAGGAAGGAATGCTGTTAGTTGAGAAATTATGGTTTGAATGCATAAACAGAAATGTGCACATAAGCAGAAGACAAGATGAAGCACTGCTTTTGGTTAAAAAAAATGTCTGAGTTCTGCCAAGTAATAATAATTACATTCAAAGCATCTCTGTAGGCTACCAGCTTTGAAGTGTGCAGAAAGAGAAAAGTAATGACTGATAAGTGTTTGCGAGTGTTTAATTTGTAATGGCCAGAATAGATAACTCAGCCCAGTTTGATACTAATTAAGGACTTATTATGCCTCTTTCAGCTAGTTATCCAGTTATACACTAAAATTACACAATTTGACATAGCTTTTTACTGCTTGTTTCCTTGAACATAGCAGGTGAACGTCACTGTACCTCAGTAATTTAGGTATCATTATACAATTAGCTGAAGTGCTTGCTTGCATAATTGTAAACCAGCTGTGTCATTTTGAGTTGCATGTTGCACTTGTAACTGATTTGTAACATAGCCAAGATGAGAGACTGTCTCAGTTCTCTGCTCATCTCCTGTTAGCTTTGAAACAAAATTGACTCTTAAGAAACAGTAGAATATCAATAGATAGTTTCATTAATCAAATTTACTTAAAGTATCTGAAACATTATTCATCTAACAGATGGATTTAAATGAATCTATCATAACTTTCAGCTCGTTCTTCATATCTTTCTGTTAGACTGGCTCACCTTTGAATTGACTGACCTAAATTAAACACAATGATTTGAAACCTAATCATTTTCAGCATTTTCTCTAAAACAGTTGTCTTCTGACTGTGTCTGAACAAGCGAATTCTCTTTTTCCTAGTGCTGCTATTACAGGATGACTTTGAATTTGTTCCATTTACCCTTAAAAGTCCAACAACTTACCTGTTGGACCTTGTTAAATCCCATTTTATTTTTCAGGATATCACAAGATTTAAAACTGAACTCCCTACTCATAAATCAGCAGAGCTCCATGGAAGTTAATTGAGCAATATTGATTTATATCATCTGACGAACTGGCCGTCTACTGATTGAAATGCTGGTTCTCAAAGTTTGTGTCCTGCATGCTGTACCTAGTCTGTCTCATGTGGTGTTCAATTTCTACAATCACTTCTGGGGAGCCGGGGATTGCTTCTTGATTGTGACTCAGACTTAGCTGTTCTCTGATTGACCCCATTCATCTTGCTTCCAGACATAGAACCACATTCTGAGATGTTTGTGATAAACCTTCCTTGCCAAGGGCAAGTGTACATGACTTGACAGTATACATGATACATGCAAGCTTTTCTCTTAAATCACGGATTGAATGTAAGCAGATCCAGCTATTCTGTTTAATCTGCTGGCGCCCTCACCCATAGAAGTCCCTGTTTTTGCTCCCAGACCATCTGTTAAACCAGAAGTTATCTCAAAAGCAACAAAAATGAGAGGTGAGGGTAAATGCTTTAATAATCAGCATCACAGAGCTCCTATAAAGACCTGCCTGCAGTAGCAAGCAATCTGTGTTCTGGCAACAGTGTTTTGTACTGCTAGGGCTTCAGGGTGAGGTTGTATTTTGTTGAAAAACATTTTCCTCATCCTTCCAAATTTAGTGCCAAGTTTTGAGACGGGAGTTGGAGGTGATTACATTATGTGAAAGTGATTATGTAATTAAAGAATTCAAACCTTTATTAGCTCAGGATAAATTTTGCACAGTGCCCAGGTAGAGTACACAGCATATCATTTCTGCTACTGTATTCCTTGAAAGAAACATGTTCTTTACAGATTATACCAGACTTTTGGTTCATGTTATCTGATTTGTGGACCAATCAAACTTCTTTGGAAATCAAGATGCAGAGCCCGCCCAACATAAGCATGTCTCATGATAAGCATACTTCTACAGGACATGGCTACTTACATGAGGGTATGGAGCTTCTATACTTTTATGTTCCAGTATTGAACTAAAAGCAGTAAAAACTATGAACAAGAACAAAACCTGTCTATTTTTAGCTTATTTGTGTTTCTATAATCCGACATAGGGGCATAAGGGGATGTTAGCCAGTTGAACATGAGTCAGCAGTGTGCCCAGGTAGACAAGAAGGCCAATGACATCCTGGCTTGTATCAGAAATAGTGTAGTCAGCAGGATTAGAATATTTAGTTTATTCTCAGAAAGAGTGGTTAAGCATTGGAACAGGCTGCCTAGAGAAGTGGTGGAGTCACTGTCCCTGGAGGTGCTCAAGAAACATGTAGATGTGGTACTTACAGGCATGGTTTAATGGACGTGGTGGTGATGGGTTGACAGCTGGACTTGATATTCTTATAGGTCTTTCCCAATCTTTATGCTTCTATGATTCTAAGATATTTTACAATGAGCTATTGTTGCTCAATATGTCAGAAAACAAAGAGGTTTTTTTGTTTGTTTCTTACCTTTAATTCTACTTATTTTCTCTTCAGAACTACCCTCCCCTCTCACTTGTCAATATTCTATTTGGAATTATTCCTTCATTTCCTTTATTTTTTTTTAGTGGGAGAGGATAAAAGCTGCCATATGATAATTCATGAAGGATATTCTCCAAGCCATTTTAATTTTGTTTATAATGCTTCTTTTTTCATTCACAAGTTTGAAGAGTTCTTATTCTTGATGTTAGCTTGCCTGAAGGGGTTAAAAGACAAGCTTACTCCTCCACCACTTTCAACTTTGTGTAGAATTGTTTATACTTGTTTCTACTATAAGCCTGGTAAGAGCATTTCCTCTGTAGCTGGAAGATCTCGACAACTCTCTCCTGAATATTGTCTATTTTCCCTTTTAGAAATAAAATTAATTACTTCCTGCATATTCATTCTTCTTGTCTTTGTTTTATCATATCAATAACTTCCCATTTGGATTTCTTTTGGCATCCAGTGGGTGGCTTTGGATTTTCTCCAATATTTAGTGAAGATGAGATATAACAGTCTAATCCGTGTTAGAAAAAGAAACTGGGTAAGAAGAAAAACATTGGATTTTCAGAAATAAATGCATCTGGAAAATTAAAGCTTAAGTTTGTCACCAGCTTTCTTCTTTGGCTTAGTAGACAGAAGTAGTAGGTGCTTGCAATTCAGTCATTCTTCTCTGTTGTAATTCCTTCATTAAATAATAAAAAAGATTCTGTCCAATTACTCATTTGGCCAAAAACCTTGAAAATAATAAAACATTTCTATTATCATTCATCATTCTTAATTTCTTCATAAAAATAACCAGAAATATTCAACAATACCTTCTTTAATTTTGTCCTATTATGAAACAAGAGTGGTTTTAACTCTGGAAAGACTTAGTATATTACTTTTAGATAAAACAAAATAAAAATCAGATGTAGTGTAAGTCAGGGGCTCTTATTTATCCTTTTCCCTTTCTGAAATCTTTCCAAAGTCAATGGAGAAGAAAAAAAGTCAAGGTAAATAGATCTTATCTTTATTCATGTGTACTTTTGTCCTTACAGACAGTGTTTTAAAATTTAAAATGAAACTTTTTAATGTGGTCAGAATATTATGTAACAAAACCATAAACACATCTGAACACCGTGTCTTCTGCTAAAAAGAGAAAGACAAGTGAAATTGGCATCATCAATACCAACAGAAATGCTACATTAACTTTAATTAAGACAGAACTTTCCAAAGATTACAACATTGGATTATGCATGTTAATGTTCATCATGCCCAAAATAAATTCCAACACTACTGATTCCGAGAATTTCCAACTCGGTAATTCTGGTGTGTTGTGTTTTAACAGGCACTTTGTAGTATCCAGGTGCTACAAGAAGGGATCTATTCATCCATTAGGTCCCACTCAGCATTTTGAATCAGCTCTGAAGCAAAATTCCACATTAGGGGATGATTTTCTATCATGGGAAAATATGTCTCATGTCTCAAGTATCTGTCATTTTAAATGATCTAGTATATGTTACGCAGCTTATTCTTTCTACTCTCATATTTTTCTGCCAATGAGGCCAATGAGAACAGTGGGCTCATCCAGCTCCTTATAAGACCACAACCACCAAGCTACCCTTCTCAGAGTCTTTATGTCACTTTGAGAGAAGACTTTCACATTTACCAACTCTCATATCCCAACAAGCTATCTGTCTGATCTGTACAGGCAAGAGAGATAAAGTCAGTACTGGGGAAATAGAAAAAAGCAAAAGAGATATGGGGAAAGAGGAAAGATACAGAACAGAACTTAGAAGCCACATAGAACTTCACATAACACAGAATTCTAGAAAGAGCAGGAAATGTAAATTTGTTTTTAACAACAAAGTTATTGCAAGCGTGATGAAAAGAATAAGCCTAACACTGTAATTCTCACTTCTGAATATGCTATGATAATTTATTACTTATCACTGGATTCCCAAATCCTGCAGAAATGACAGGCTTACAGGTAAACCTAGAGCCTTTGAGAAATGTTTAAAGATGCCTGAATTAGACAAAATATGTTTAAAAAATCATGCGGGCAGAAACTTCTCTCCACTGAACATGGCTACACCTTTAGAAGCCTAGGCATAAATTATTCCAACAAACATCAGCTCTTGGAAATCATGGGGGATTTTTTTCAGTATCTTTATGAAAAGTGCCACTTAGCGTAACTGTATGATCTTGGTTACTTAACTGACTTCAAGGGATTCACTTCTTTTCAGAGATACTCCCTGGAATTGAGGAAAAGGCAGTCAATGGACTAATGTATGGCACAGAAACAGGTCTAGATTTGAAGGGTGAACTATCTGCGCTCAATGACATTTGAACAGTTTTAACTGCGCAGTTCTGTAGATAAATCAGCTTTATTCTGCCTTGTGGGCTGGTAGCCAGCAAGTGAGAAAGAAACTTAATTACCTGAGCAGGCTGACTGGAGAAACATAAAACAATGGTATATGTAGGAGTTATAAAATCAAGTGTTCTTTACACTGTGGAAGTTTGAAAAGAAATGCAAATAGGATAATCAATGCAGGGCTGAGCATCTTAGGTTCTGTGATTTAGGGAAGAAATAGTGCTCCAAGCACAAAAGACTCCTAGAGGACTTTGACTCACTTCCTAAAAGCTGACCGATTTCCTGACAGACAAAACCATGCAGAATGATATGTTTATTATTTTGGCTGCAACTATTTTCTTTGCTATTTAAAGTAAAGTATAATTGTGGTTAAAGTGCATTGGAAAGTATAAGTGTTTTCTTTCAGCTAACAGAAGCCTTGGAGAATGAGTTGCAAATCCAGCACGGCTAAAAACTTTTGGAGGAACATGCCCAACAGTATTGCTGAGTCCAGGTGTCTTCAGTAAGCCTGAGAATTATTTGAGTAGTGGAAAGTTGCAGTCAGAGGGCCTATGTCCTCAGAGTTACTGACTGCTAGAGAGTCAGTAACACATGGATGCAATACTTATAAGCATCTGAATAATTCTGTGGCACGGCTAAATATGCCTTTGTTGTTTTTCTTAACCATCTCTTTCTGTAATTAGCTGTTCCTGTAGAGGCAACTGCCTTTACAAAATACATATTCTATGATTTCAAGTTGGATGTTAAAATAGTAAAAAAATATATATCCAAAAGAAGCATTCATTCTCAGCCTCTAAAGCTTTTATGTGCTTTGATTTTGTAAGCATATAGGGAATCCCTACAGGCAGTATTTCCTCAGATACTTTAAAGAAATGTATTGAGTTAATAGGTCACAGAGGACCTTCACCGGTTGTGCAGTTCAGATGTAGTTATTCATATTTATTTCTTAAAACTTCATAACTGTCCAAACTGGAAATTTATTTCATGCTGAAATTTTGCCAAATTATGTTTTTTATTCAGATACATAGTTCTTGCCAATGTTACCAGCCAGCACACTGGTCACTGGAACTCAACAAGGACTGTTTGCAGCAGGGGTTTTATTTTTCCTATTAATGTGTGCAGTATAGCTACTCTATCCATCCAGTATAACACATAATATTTTTGTCTTTAATTATTATAATGAATACTTCTTACATTTCTTACATGTTTTTTCTTTATGGCATTCCATGGACACATCACATAGTACAGCTCATAATTGACATATACCTATGTTCTCATATAAAATGACTATGAATTAAAAGCCTGTATTTAGAGGAAAGGATTTTGGATGTAAATAAAAGTTACCAGAAATCTATTAGGTTTTTTACCTTTAAAAGAATTCATATTTTTTTTACTTATTTTACTTTACTTTACTTCATATTCATCACTGTGATCAACTTTTATTATAAGTGGGTGAGAAATCAATTTGAAAAATACAGAAATTGTGCACTTTGTACTCTTTCTCTGCAACTACACACACACACACAAAATTATCAGGCAATTATTTTTTTCATTAAGAAAGCCTTAAATACTCTTACCCTCTTTCCAGATATTATATTTCTTAGCAACATAAATTAGTTTGTTATTGGTTGCACAAGTACGATCTTCCCTGCTTATATATTTATCACTTTTCAAAAAATACTTTTCATAATAAAAGAAAAACACATTTGACCCTTTCAGGAAAACAAGGACTATGTACTCAATGTTGCATGATAGTATACAACACACAAAGCAAATGCAAAAGTGGCTTATAATGGAGAAAGGAATTTTATGCCTTTCACAGCCTTGTTGCTAAGGTGGTGAATATTCCTTGTAATGTGCACATCCAGGCATACACACTCACGCACAGATACACATATGTCCTCTGGCAGAATTTCTGGGTCACCTCACTATTCTTACTGATACTAAAGGTAAATTCTAAGAATTGGTTTGAAGCAAGGTGTGCCCATCCCAGAGAGAGATAGTTAAGCATGAAGGAATTACGTGCTATGGGACTTGCCACTTGCGTCAGCACTGGCAACCGGGAACCAAATCAGGCTCCTGAACCCTCAAAGCCACTACTACTAATGCATCTGTCTTTTATCATCATGGTCACTACTCTCTGGAAAACTTACGGAAAGGATGGGTCATCAAGAAGATCAGACCCACTCAAAACTGTCCTATGGGGACAACACCCAATTTTAGTGAGAAGAACCAGTTTTCCACTTTGCTTCTGTGCGGAGATAATGGAAAAATACCAGAACGTTAATTGCAGAATACAGAGGCATTATTATCACTGATAAAATAACATTATTAGAAAGAAATAAATGAAATAATAAATGAGGAAGAGAAATGTTCTCTTAGGGGTCATCTTTCTCCCTAAACCAAGATGACAGAAAATGGAAGATTTTCCAGATATTAAAAAAAAAAAAAAGTAAATCAATTAAAAGAGAAAGAAGGAGAAAATGGACCAAGCAGACAAGTAAACAAATAAGCAAGAAATACACAGACATGAAAAAAAACACACACCTATACACTTGGTAGTCATTAATCTTGATTATCTGCTAAGCTGCATGCATTTTATTGTCATTCTGCCAGCATATCTAGACTCAGATGGTCAGGTACTTTCCTACCTACAGAGAATATCTAGTGAGTGTAAAATGAACACTGACTACCAAAACATTTTACTTTTCTTCCTACTTTCTCTATTAGTGCTATACCACAGATATTGATTTGATTAATGAAGTAAAAAAATACTATCATTATAAAATAAAGTGAATAAAGATGCCAGTGCTCCTATTTTGTCAAATATCTTTCTGCATAACTCAACGACTATCCTGATTTTTTGGCAGGTAAGCCGGAAACAATCTATTTTACTGTATAGTTCCATGTTTATTAAAATATTATGCTGTGCCTTGTTTGTTCGGTGTTAACATTCAATTCAGCCACTTTATTTTTGTAAATTGTATACAGAGGAAAGACAGTGTTCAGATCTGTTCTGCATTTGAAAACTAATTTACACGACAGCTTCAGATAACCTTCCATTCATCCTAAATATAATGCATTGGTCTGAGTGCATACTTATTTTGCAACATACTTCAGAGCTTTTTTTTAGCTGTATCTCTTTCAAAATGCATACCTTAAACTCATAGTAATTCCTAATTATATTAAATGTAACAAGACATAATTACTTTCTTTACATTTGTTCACACATACATGCTTCATCAGTAGAGATTCCGCTTCTTGGCCCTTAAATGTCAAACTTACGTCACTTAATCTTTGTTGCTTCTTTTTTTTTTTAATACATCACTGTGCCTTCAGTTTTTCATAGCTATGTCCTTTCCTATGATTTTTGAGGCCTAT